CCCACCTGGGTTCGCCAGCAGCTGGTATTCAGAGGCATACTGACTGTCTTGATCTGCAGGCCCAAGGGAGGGCCTGCGAGGGTGGTTTGATGCAGGGATGCCAAAGGAAGACGCTAAAAATATCAGAATGGGCAGTTCTAGTGCTTTATTAAAGAAGGGTGTGATCTCACAGCCTTCAGAGCCCCGCTGCCTTTACAGACTCGGGGTCAAAGCAACAAGCAGTCATCACGACTTGTCCACACCAGGGAAAGCATTTAGGCAATAACAACAATTTATTATTTATGTGCCACTCATCTGACTGGGTTGCCCCCAGCCACCCTGGGCGGCTTCCAACAAATTAAAACACAGTAAGACATCAAACTTTAAAAACTTGCCTATACAGGGCTGCCTTCAGAAAGCCAGATAGTTGTTCGCTGTAATAGGGTTGCCATATTTCAAAAAATGGAAATCCAGACACAAAAGTTGTTGAGCGTAGTTGCTGCCATACGCCCGGACATTTTTACTGATTTCAGGAAATTCCACCCGGATTCCAAAGGGCGGATCCCGGATATGTCCAAGAAGTTCTGGACGTACAGCAGCCCTACCTGTAACCTCATTTCTTGTAGTGAGGGAGCCACCAGAAGGCCCTCAGAGCTAGGTCTTAGTGTCCGGGCTGAAAATTGTGTATAAATTTTGTAGTTATACAAAGGCAAGCTACCTCATCTGGTTTCATTAGCCCAATTAACTCACCCCTAGCTTGGAAGCCCCCTCCCAACTCTCTTCCATCTCCTAGATAAGGAGGTAGCTGACAGGCAGTCAGTGTGAAAAGCCTCCTCTCAACTAGCTAAGTGTTGCAAGCCCACAGATAAACATAGCATCAGAGTAAGCCAATTGGCATACAGTCATACCTCTTGTTACATTCGGTTCAGGTTACGTTCTTTCAGGATACGTCCCGCGGTGACCTGGAAGTATCAGAACTTCCAGGTTTCGCCGCTCGTGCCTGCACAGACGCTCAAAATGACGTCATGCGCAGAAGTGGCGAATCGCGACACGCACACACGCAGACGCGGGTTGCGTTCTGCTCATGTTGCGAACGGGGCTCCGGAATGGATCTCGTTTGCAACCAGAGGTACCACTGTATATTATGTTAAGTATGTGGGCTGATTCTTGCCACAACTAACAATTGATCCCGGAGTTATATTGACGGGTCAAGATGCTGTTTACGGGCCTTCTGGAACATTGCCACCGTTTCTTTCTGGCAGTGGAGGTGGAAAATGACCATTGTGGCTTCCTTGAATTTGTCTAACCATCTTTGAAAGCCATCCAAGTTGGCGGCCATCTCATGAACTGAGACTGTACCTCGGGACGTACGCCAATTTTGCAACTGCGCATTGCAAAGGAAGATTGGTAGTCATGGAAAAGCTAGTTTGCTGTCAGTGCAGAGTCAAGGTCTTCAGAGAACCACACGACTTCCCAGAACACAGCCCAGATACTCCTTTTTTTAATCACTTAGTACATTCGTGGCTGCATCGGTGGTGGTTGGCCCCCTTGGAACTGGCAGGGCAGAAAACAGGGGAGGCCCACAGGAGGGAGAACCATAACCAGAGGCAAGGACTTGTGGAACCAACTAATTATTGTTAATTTCTCCTTGCTGAATTCTGCAGAAGTGCAACTGAGACTAAGGAAGAGGAAGCAGAGAGTCATTGCCCCCCCTCCCCCCGGGGCTGCTTGTAAATATGGAGGCAGGCAGGGACATTTGTCCTAATGGTCCAGGGGTGTGTGTGTGGTTATATTTTCATTTGCCCCCCCCTCCCACGTTTTATCTTCACTGCTGTCCTAGCTTAAGGACACCCACTGAGCTTAAGGGCTGAGCAGGAATTTGAACCCAGGTCTCCACAGTCTTGCCTGACACTCTCACTCAGGAGTAGCAAAGCCTTCCAGATGGTTTCTCGAATCCAACTCCCTTCACCCTCTGCCACCACGGCCAATAATCAGGGTTGGATGGGAGTTGTCATCCAACATCTGGAGGGCTCCCCATGGACTACCCCTTCTCTAACCATTATACTATACTGCCTCACAAGCAGAGGGTGGGTGTTTATAGAGCAGGCTTGACACTTGAGTCCTGCTTTCAGGTCCTGCACAAAGCCTGACCCTGGCGAAAGCAGTCTAAATACCTGTGAAGTACATGCATCAGAGAAGTCTTTGGCTGCACTGGGTTATTAGCTCAGTCAGTAGAGCTTGAGACTCTTTACTCTCAGGGTTGTGGGTTCAAGCCCCATGTTGGGCAAAAAGATTATGACATGGCAGGGGGTTGGACTAGATGACCCTTGTCATCCTTTCCAACTCTACATTTCTATGTACCATACAAGACCTTTGCTTTGCCTCTCAAGCTGAGCGCTAAAAATATTCGTGGCTGAATCAGTTTCTTTTGCCCCAGAATGCAAGAACCCTGGCTGTCGAAACAGTAATAGTTTTATAGCTTTATAATAGCTGGGCATTTGAAAACTTAAGTTGGCCAGGATGAGGCGGGGTGAGTGATTAGCTGTCTGTACCACCCCAGGCAGGCCAATATTTCAGCAGTTTTGCCTGTGTGTGGGAGAACATGCAGAAGGAATTAAGTGTTCAGCCCCGGGACTTAATCATCTCAAATCTTACTTAGTAAGAGTCTTTGTTGACGATGGCTTCCTAAGGAAAATATAGGCCTGAGCTGTATAGAAATGTCAGGCGTATTAATTTTAGCATGTGTCGCTTCCTGTGGATGGAATGTTCTCTTCATCCCCGCTGCAGGTTCTAATTCTGCTCAGTGACTAACTGCGCTGCACTTTGGGTGGAGTCCCTGGCATTTCTGATCTCCTTTTCCTCCTCCTCCTCCTCCTTGCCCCCTCCTCTTTTCCTTAGCAAATTCTAAACCATATTTTGGACGACATTGAATATTTCGTTACCAAGCTTCAGAAAGCGGCAGAAGCATTTGCGGAGCTTTCGAAGAGGAAGAAAACCAAGAAGAATAAGAAGAAAGGGCCTGGGGGTAAGGAGTTCCTTTTGCCAGAATGGCTTTCCAAGAGACCCCTGTGTATCCAGCTTCGGGGATGAGGGACCTGTAACCTTTTCAGCGCTGTCAGATTAGGCACTTGCATAATCCCTGAGCTGGCTGGGGCAGATGGGAGCTGGGAGTCCCACCACATCTGGAGGGCACAGGGTTGGCTACTGTTGCCATGAAGTGACGCCTGATTAGAGCCTGGGATTTGGACAAACAGCAACAACATTCAAATGCCCCTTGTCATGGGCTGGTTGGATGCAGAGGAATGGTGGGAGGAACCAGCTGGGGAAACCTCAAGGGAAAAAGGCTCAGAGCCCAGGGAATGGTGGTGGGATGACAATAAGTGGTCAGAGGGAGAAGATTGGGAGGAGGAGAGGTTGGAAGCTGAAGAGGCAACAGGGCTTAGTGAGCTGGGAGAGTCTGTGGCAGAGAGAAGTCCGGAAGCAGAGGCAGAAGCAGGAGAGGATGGAGGCCAAGAGGCAGTGATGAGTCGGGCTGCTGAAGAAGCCAGAGTGTCTGCCCTGGTCTCCCAGAACTCAGAGAGGCCTGAAGTGGGAGGAGCAAAGGCAGACTTACAAGCACAGTCTCAGAATGTTTTGGGGAAAACCCTGGAGAGGAGGGGACTTAGGCAGAGGTGGAAGGCAGGGACCTTCAGTCTCTGCAACTGACCAGACCTACTGAAGAGTTGCTGTTCTCATTTGGCTTGTCTCCCCTGTGCAGATCCTGTTTTTTCTAATAAAAGGAAAACTTACCTCTGTGTGATTTACTGCTGACTGGCTCCTGACACTTGAGGACTATGTAAGCTCTCATGGAGAGAGCCACTGAGATCTTATGATGAAGGGTGGTATATAAAGTAATCATCACCACCACCACCATCATCATCATCTTGTAGACAGTTGTGCAGTTCAGTAATTTAAAGCTATGGACTTAATGGCCTTGGAGGAAACCAAGGTAAGGGGTGGTGGACTACAACTCCCATCATCCCTGGCCATTGGTCATGCTGGCTGGGGCTGATGTGTGTTGGAGTCCAACTTAACACTGCAGGGGGAGTGCTGAGCTAGGACCGCTCTCCCTGATGCGCTTCTGCTGCTGCTACCACTACTGTGTACCTTCAGAGGCACCTCATTCTGCTTTCACATGTTGTGGATGCCTCCCAAGAAATTCTACCAGGTGATTTTCTTTTTGTTCTTTGTTCCCCAGAGGGTGTCTTAACTCTCCGCTCCAAACCTCCGCCTCAAGATGAATTTGTCGACTGTCTGCAAAAATTTAAACACGGCTTCAACCTTCTGGTAAGTGGCTGTGTGCAAAATACAAACAAAACGTAAGAGTCCTGCTGGATTGGGAGGGAAAGCCCCTCTTGTCCAGCATCCCATTCTCACAGTGGCCAACCAGATGACTGTGGGAAGTAGGAGCGCAACAGAACTCGTAATCCCCAGCAACTGGTATTCAGAGGCACACAACCGACAACAGTGGAAGTGGAGCCTAGCTGCCTGAAAATAACAAAGGACATCTCTATGAAAGGATCAAAGAGAGAAGGAGGGACCTTGCATGCCCAAGGCATTTTACCCATCATCCAGTCTGAGACATCGTGTACTGTGATTAAATAAAAAGCTATAGGTTTGATGCTGTGCCTTGACAGGCAGTGTCAAAGAGCTTTCCTGCTACCTGACAGTGTTTTAACTAGCAACCAGATATTGCCCTGGACCTTCCAAACAAAGCCTGCATGTTTCAGTACTAAGATTTGTTGTTTCCCATTAACTGCCTTTAAAATAGTTATTTCTCTTTCTTTTCCTTTTCTTTTCTCCTGCAGGCTAAATTAAAGTCACACATCCAGAATCCCAGCGCATCCGAATTGATTCATTTTCTGTTTACCCCTTTAAATATGGTAAGATTATTTCTAGATATAAAACATCACAATGTTTCATAAAATCATAGACTTTATGATCGGAAGGGACCATGAGGGTCATCTAACTCTGGAATCTTTTGCCCAATGTGGGGCTCGATCCCACGGCCTTGAGATTCAGAGTCTTGTGTTCTGCTAACTGAGCTATCCCAGCTTATAGCTCCTGATCCCTTCGAAATTAATCAAATGGGAAATGGACAATGGAGATGGTGCATGCCACGAAAACGAAAAGCATTGTCTACACTAAAAAAAACTGTTTGGTGGAACCCAGTTTGTGCTCTTGCATTTGTGGAAGAGCTTTGGGTCGTGGGGACACTTCTGCTAACTAGAGAAGAAGAAAGACAATTACCCCCCCCCCCATTTCTTCTGTAAGAGCAAACATTATCTAGTCTAGCATCCTGTTCTCACATTGGCCAGGGGAAGCCCTGCAAGCAGGAACTTGAGCACAACAGCGACTCTCTACACTTGTGATTTGCAACTGGTTTTAAAAGGCATACTATCTTTCACAATGGGGGCAGTTCATAGCCATTGTTACCTAGTAGCAATTGATGTAGGCTTTCTCCCTGAAGCCCCCTTCCACCTGTTCTGGAGGGTATTGGGTGAGGGCACCGCAGATAGAAGAGGAATCGGGAAATATCATCATGTCCCTTCTGATCCCATTAGTAGAGGCATCCCCTGCATCAAAAACTTCCTGCAACTGTGCCGGTTGGATTCAGAACGCATTGCTGTTTCGCTGACATCTTGTCCGATCAATTGCAATGGCTCCGTTCGGCCAAGTGTAGGTTAAAAATGCTGAAAAGAAATTGGAACTGGGTCCCAAACGCTTGAATAGTTTCAGTTGCAAAGCATGTGCCTGTGCAACTCATTGAAAATTCCCTTTAAAATACATAAAAGCAGCAGCTGGGAAAGGACTCCAGCCTCATTTGCATGTATGTTAAAGGAGAAGGCAGCGATTTTCCTTTTTACACTTGAACCCAATTACAAAACACAGGGTGAGAATCTTCCCTGGCAATGCTTCCTCAAACGCCAGGCTCAAGAACATCCATGATCACTCCTACCATATCAACAATAAGCCTGCTTTCAATTCTCTTTGTCGTAGGTGGTGCAGGCAACGGGAGGGCCTCAGCTCGCTAGCACAGTCCTCAGCCCCCTCTTAACAAAAGACACAATAGACTTCCTGCGTTACACCGTCACAAGTGACGAAGGACAGCTATGGGTGTCTCTAGGTGACACGTGGACCAAAGCCAGGTAAAAGGAAATTAACATGTTTGGCTTGTTTATCTACCAATATGAGCTATGTTATGCTTCACGGGCATCATCCGGCTTTTTCTCTGAGCCCAGCTTTGGCTGGAGAGGGCAGGATACAAAAAAATATATTACTAATTTATTATTATTATTCTGTGCACACTGGTGTGAATGCTGAGAACATAGGAGGCTGTCTAGTAACAGAGTCAGACCACTGGTCCATCTAGCTCAGCATTGTCTGCACTGATTGACAGCAGCTCTTCAGGATTTCAGACAGGGAATTTCTCCCAGTCCTACCTGGAGAAGCCAGGGGTTCAACCTGAAATCTTCTGCATGCTAAGCAGATGTTCTACCCCCTGAGCTACGACCTTCCCCCAGTTGTTTTGCCGTGGGATCAGGGTTCTGAAAACATCATCATCATCATTTTTTATTTGTATGCGGCCTTTCCACAGTTAAAAAACAATGCTTAAGGCGGCTTACAGCATAACAAGATTTACATACAGTGGTACCTCGGGTTACATACACTTCAGGTTACATACGCTTCAGGTTACAGACTCCGCTAACCCAGAAATATTACCTTGGGTTAAGAACTTTGCTTCAGGATGAGAACAGAAATTGTGCTCCAGTGGCGCGGCAGCAGCAGGCGGTCCCATGAGCTAAAGTGGTGCTTCAGGTTAAGAACAGTTTCGGGTTAAGCATGGACTTCCAGAACGAATTAAGTTCTTAACCTGAGGTACCACTGTAATTACAAAAGTCATAAACAATAAATAAACCACATCAAAAAAATACACAACCAAATGGGAAACAATTTTCACATAAATCAAAATCTAAAACTAAGAATACAGCATTAATATCAGTTTAAAATGGTAAAAATAACAGCAACTTAAAACAAAACAAAACGGAGCCCTCTCTGCCCAGCAGCAGCAGTGGCAGAAGTCCTTTATAGAGCCCATCAGGCCCCACCCTGGGCCAGGTGAAGAGTGGCAGGACTGGGGCCCCAGGCGCTGAGCAGGGGAGTCCTCCTGGGTGGTAGCCGCAGCAGCTGCAGTTCTTATAGGCCTGACATGACTCACTGGTCAGAAATCTGAAAAACTGCCCCAAATGGGGCTTGCAGATCCCACCACAACATGGACTTGCCTTATGAATCCCCCAGTTTGTGTGAAGAACACATGCCATGCCAGGGAAAAAGCTGCGCTTGGTGAGGTGGAGTCTCAGAGCGAGCCTTGGGAGGACTGGCATGTGACTTCCTACACAGTGGTACCTCGGGTTAAGAACTTAATTCGTTCCAGAGGTCCATTCTTAACCTGAAACTGTTCTTAACCTGAGGTACCACTTTAGCTAATGGGGCCGCCGCGCTGCCACCACGTGATTTCTGTTCTCATTCTGAGGTAAAGTTTTTAACAGACTCCCTGGAAAAGACCCTGATGTTGGGAAAGATGGAGGGCACAAGGAGAAGGGGACGACAGAGGACGAGATGGTTGGACAGTGTTCTCGAAGCTACCAGCATGAGTTTGTGGGAGGCAGTGGAAGACAGGAGTGCCTGGCATGCTCTGGTCCATGGGGTCACAAAGAGTCGGACACGACTAAACGACTAAACAACAACAACTACTACTACTTCCGGGTTAGCGGAGTCTGTAACCTGAAGCATTTGTAACCTGAGGTACCACTGTATTGATAAGATCATATTTAGATCGGCATTCATAGAGTGGGATAATGGTGCAGGCGATGGAAAGTTTAGACAGGTGTGTTGTCTGAAGCTCACCTCCATTCAACCTGGAAATTATCCTCACACCAAATCAAAATAGCTTAGATCATTTTAACAATCCTATTCAGGGACTCGTGGAAAATTACCCATTCTATTCAGTCCAAAGTCTCGTGGAAATCACCCACTCTCTGTCCCTTGCTCTATCCTAGCTCAGAGCTATGCCATAGCTGTGACACTTGTCAGCAGATATGACTATTATTTTTTAAAATACCCTGCTCTCTCCTCACCTTCTCACCATGCCTATAAGCAAGCAAAAACTACACCGGTGTCCTACTAATTCCGCCTGCTCTTAGGACTGGTTCAATGGCATTTATTACCTTCATCCATTTCTGACAACACCCATAAATAAGAGATGGCCTCCAAAAAAGGAGAAAAGGGAACCATAAAGTGTCTTTCAGGGAGCTGTATGTGAAAAGGCAGTAATTCAAACCACAGGGCGATGCTTTCTATGCATGGTGCGTAGGCATCTCTAACCCTGCGAGGAAAATCCTGCTTCTGGTGCAGTAACATCACGTAGTGAGAGCCAGCTGATCTCAGCGGAATATCTTCACTGATTCCAGAAATCCCCGTCTCGTTAGAAGCTGCCAGCAGTGATACGCTGTGAGAAACACAAGTGTTGAAAAAGTGAAAGCATTGTGGTTTCCTAGCTTTGTCTGTGTAGTTTTTTAAATAATAATAAGAAAAAAATAATAAGAAAAACATACATTTACATAGGTGCATAGTTCAGCATATAATGCAATATTGCAGTAAAGCAAAAAATAAAATTAAAAAATGATCTGGTTGTATACTGTCCCTGACATACTGGAATATAATAAACATGGCACATCATTCTGAGACTCTTAGTTGTACATTAGTTACTCTATAATAAACAGCACTGTGATCTCTGGATGAAGGGTGGTGTAGAAATTTTAATAATAATAATAAGAAGAAGAAGAAGAAGAAGAAGAAGAAGTTTTTTAAATCTCAGGATTATTTTTTTTAATAACTACTCTTGAGACTAGTAGCTGTTCTCCCCCAACCCCTCCCTTGCTTTAGCAAAGCTTATTTTTTGCAGCAGAGAGTAGAACATAATCACAGAAGACAAGGCTGCTGGATCAGGCCAATGGCCCATCTAGTCCTGCATCTTGTTCTCACAGCGGCCAACCAGATGCCTGTGGGAAACCTGCAAGCAGGACCTGAGCGCAAAAACCCTCTCCCTCCCCTCCCCTCCCCTCCCTTCCCTTTCAGCAACTGGTTGTAAGAAGCGTTACTGCATCCAACTGTGTAGAGGCAGAGCACAGCCATCGTGGCTCGTAACCCTTGATAGTATTATCCTTCGTGAATTTGTCCAGTCCTCTTTTAAAGAGCCACCCAGTAGGTTGAGAGTCGCTTCCCAATCTTCCTGCAAGAATTCAGATAATTTAGTATAGGGTTACCAGACGTCCCCAGTTCCCGGGAACAGTCCCTGGATTTGCAAATCTGTCCCCGGAGAAATGCCATCCCCGGAATGTCCCCAGATTTACAAATCTGTCCTGGGAAATGTGGCAGCGGCAGCAGCCCAGAGCCAGCCTGGCAGCGCAGTTGGCTCTGGCTGGCTTCAGGAGCTGTGCTACCAGGCTTGCTCTGGGCTTCTGACTGCCACTGCCGCCGCCACTGCTGAAGGGGAACAGGGGACATTTGGCTGTACAGATCTCCTGCTCCTTCCCCCTTTGTTCTGACTGATTGGGGCGGCTCGGGAATCATGGGCGGGCAGCCGTTGCCAGTTTTTTAAAAACTCTGTGCATTTATGTTTCAAGGGTGCAAAAGAAGGGCTTTGCACCTTTATACAATGCACATGTGTGCTTGGGCCCAGGGTCTTTTGCCTCACCATCCCCACTACTGACTCCCTGTTGCTACTCAGGCTTCATTGAAAAAAATCTGGTAACCATAATTTAGTAGTAATATTTGGGGAATTGTTTCACAGTGGGCAACCTAGTCATGTCTTCAAACCTGTTCCTCCTTGAATGCAGAGCAGAGTGGCCCAAGGAGCAGTTCATCCCACCCTACGTGCCGCGGTTCAGGAACGGATGGGAGCCCCCTCTTCTGAGCTTCATGGGATCCCCAAAGGAACAAGAGCTCAACCAGCTAGCCGAGTCGGTGGCAAATGTAGCTGAGCACCAGCGGAAGCAAGAGTTGAAAAGGTTATCAACCGAGGTAGGGAAGAGGGCTGCCGCCGGCTTCTAAGCCCAGGTGGAGGGTTTGTGCGCATCAGGCCAGCGGGAAACAGGCAGGCGATGTGATCCACACAGCAATTCTACAATGGCTGTTTATGGCTGTTTACAAGTGTCAGGAGTTCAGCCTACACTTGAGTAGGACCCTGGCAGAGACACATGCCCGACTGGCATGTTCTTTCCCTCCTGGTCTTTCGTTCGGGAGCTTCATGAGCTTTCTTCTGCCCGAACGAAAGACCAGGAGGGAGAGAACATGCCAGTTGGGCATGTGTCTCTGCCAGGGTCCTACTCAAGTGTAGGCTCCAGAACGGAACTCCAGAACTTCCCACTCTGTGGAGTGAGAACATATACCGTCACGTGATAGACAAAAATCCCATGACTGCAATTGTGGAGCAGGAATTCTAACATCAAGCGCTGCCATCCTTTCTTCCCTTTGGCATCTACTTCTTCCTTTCAACCCCTTGGCTGCTAACTCATTTGGGAAAAGAGGCAGCCATTCCAAACGCAGGCAAGCTAATGGATCCAAGACTAGGTACCTGTGAAGCATCCTAAATATGGATATTGACTGGGGGCCATAGCCAAGGTGGGGCCGGTGGGTGCATTTTTAAAAAACTGATTTTTTTTAATAGCAGCAGCTGGTGCCCCCTCCTCCTCTGCCCCACAGCAGCGATGCTCAACACCAGTGCCAGATTTACTCTCTTGCCCCCCCCCAAAAAAACTGGATGTACATTTCCAAAATATAAGTTAAAAAACAAATAAAATAAAACCTACATACAGCAACAGTGTTTTGTGTTGTGTGGGCTCCTGTGATGTAAGTAATGGGCCCCTCCTGCTAGCCTGCTCCCTAAAATATCACTGGTTTGCTCATTTCTATATTTCTATACTTTGATAAAATACATATTTTGTTATGTGCAAATGGCTTTAGATACCTACTAGGTCCATAAATTACCATATAGCATATATTCAACACGAAAAACAGTGACAATTTGTTGTTGACAAAGGACAACTGGACATATAAAGGGCCCCGTTAGCTTCGGTAGCTTAGGGCTTCATCAAACCTAAATCTGGCCCTGCTCAACACTCCCATCTGTCTGAACCTCACAGTTCTGCCCATCCATGTTTCCTGCTGATGGGTTTTTTTTAAAAGTCTCTCTCTCTCTTGTACTTACATGAACCTGCCAATATCTTACGTTTTTGCTATGGTGGAAGGGAGCATGGCAGGATGCCTAGAGGGAAGAAGGAGTAACTTAAGGATGTTATTATTTATTTATGAACAATGTTCTTTATAAGCGCACGAAAGCTTCTAAATGTAAAAAAACACAAACCTGTGCTTTTTTAGGTTATTTACTTTGGATGTTAACAGTTCATGGACACTAAGGTATACACAGGCTTTTGGGTTGGGTGAGAAGCCAGTAACCAGA